CAGGCGTGAGCCACCGCGCCCGGCCAAAAAAATAAGACTCTTTAAAATCCCAACATTTGGGGTAAAGGATAAAACAACAACAACAATAATAACAACAGCTAACATTGATTGAGCCCTGTATACAACTTACTCTGTGACACCGCATCTAGTCCTCACAAGTCTCATATTATTTCTGCGTTAAAGAGGAGGATACTGACTCAGAGAGGTTCCACACCTAGTAAAAGCTGTGAGTAAGAGATGAATGTGGCAGACTGGCTCTACAGCCCAGGCGCTTAACCCACTAGGCTACATCAATCTCCACTGCCTTTGCATTTGTTTCTGAGGGTTTTCCTGTTGTTACAGGTGAATGAAAATAAGCAGTTGCAAACAGTAAGAATCTTTCAACTCCTTGCTTTATTTTAAGATCTGCACAAGAACAAGTTAACCTGACAGAACTAGTAGTCTCCAATATGTTGATATGTAGTATAAAGCACATTTAAATGTGTCTATGTTTAATTAGTTTAAAACATGATTTAAATGTCAAATGTCTGCAGAACCCTGAAGCATCTCCACAGAAGCCTAGTGTTCCAGAGCACAAGTGGGAGTGCGGTTTTTCAACAAGCATTTTGTGAGTGTCTACTATGTGCCAGACATTGAGGATGCAAATCACACACACATACACACACACACACACACACACACACACACACACACACACACAGTCCCTGCCTTATGGAGCTTGTGTTGGGTGAGAGTGACATCCACACAAACCCGTTTAAGTTATAACTGTGGCAAGTCCTACAAAATGAGAGGCAAATGGTACAGAGTACGACTATTCACACTCAGCCAAAACCCAAAGAACAACTTAGAATACTGAAGGAGATTCTGCCCCAATCTCCCTCAGTGAGAGGCACAATGTATAAACCCGTATCTCATGGAGTTGCAGGGCCTTCTGGCCATCAGGGGGACTTAATTTGCATACAACATGATCCTGTAACACAAGGCCACTAATTCACTTGCCCAGCTGCAGTTAAGGAAATAGCAGTAACTTCCAACACAGGAGGGAACCTGGGCTACACAGTGGTACACTGCGTTAATAAGAAACTGTATATGGGTTTCCAGTGTGGTCTGTTCTAAAGTAATGTCTCAATGATCATTTTAGCCACATGCTGGCCTTAGATCGCAACCCTCACCAAAGTCTGACTCCACTGGAGGGGAATTTGACCAGGGGAAAGTAGATTTAACCTCAGGCTAAGCTCAGCAGGAGGAGGAAAAGACTATGAGAAAAGAGAGGGAGCCAAAACCAGAAAGTGGGACCCACCCATGCCAAGGCTCTGCCAAGGAAGCGTGGCCTGGCAAGGACGGGGAGAGCTCAAAGTAGGCCTGAGCCCCTGGAGGCTGGAGAGCAGCGAGTGTGCTAGAAAGATGGGGCTGGAGGGAGAGGCCCTGGAGCGGGCAGGGCTGTAGAAGCCAGGGGAAGGATTTCTGCCTGTACCCTAGGAATGATGGGGAGAAACTGAAATAGCTTCAGTAGTGGGTGACCCGATCAGATACGCAGTCCTGAAAGGCAACTGGCTGCAATGGGAGAACGGCTGCAGGTGAGGGGAGGAGGAAGGCCTCAGGCAGAGCCGGGATGGATGCTGTTATGATCCCTCTCTCCACTACCAATGCTGTCAGCTGGGCTTATGACTGAAAATTGAGGTGGTTGTGCCTCACACTTGATCCTCCAGTAAGATACTTACTATGTGACCTCACGCTTCACCTTGTTCCCCTTTATATCCCTCCTGTTACCTGGCTAACTCCTACTCACCCTTGTAGATGCAGCTAGACCTCATCTCTTCCCCAACACCTACCAGACATCTCTGACTGAACCCCCTCCTAACACCCTGTGCATGCCTCTAGCATTTACCATAAGGAATTCTATAATTGACGTGCCTACTACAGCTAATACTATAAAAATGAAACATGCTCTCTAAAAAGATTCATATTACACAGGCACATATTATAGTTATAAAAATGCCCATACTTTTCCCCTGAGTTGTCAATTTTTTAGACTATACCAAAAAATACATGCCCATACTATTCTAAAACCACCTCCCCCCAACAAGAAAGTGAAGTTTTACAAAAATGTTCACTTGGGCAAATGAAAATGATTTATTTGCCTAACTGGGGGATGCTCTGAACAATCTGAGAAGACACGGAAACATGGAACTGTAGAAATATACCATTAAGTGATAAAACCAAACAGCATGCACATTGGAATCACATCATGTAAAAGCTTATAGATTTATGTTAAAGTCTGCAAGAAAACTTAGAATAATCAATATTGACTTCAATCGTCAAAGTTCTGATTTGGTTGTGAAGTTATACTTTAATATCAAAAGTGTTTTTTGAAGTTCCATTTTAACTAAAAGCCTAGCTTTACTGAGTGCTACAATTAAAATGAAATGGAAATCATTTTCTTTTAGATTTTTAAATACTGCTACCAACCAGATCTCAAGGATAATCACTTTCTAAATTTTTCAGTAATTCAGATATTAAAAGTCAGATTCAATATGATACCAAATGCACAAGCAACAAAAAATAAATTATACTTCATCAAAATTAAAAACTTTTGTGCTTCAAAGGACATTATCAAAAAAGTGAAAAGACAACCCACAAAATGGGAGAAAGCATTTGTAAATTGTGCATTTGATAAGGGACTTATATCTAGAATATACAGTTGACCCTTGAACAATAGAGATTTGCACTGCACAGGTATGCTTATATGCAGATTTTTTTTCAACACATATATTAGAAATTTTTTTGGAGATCTGCAACAATTTGAAAAAACTCGCAAACCGCATGACCTAGAAATATTGAAAAAATTAAGAAAAAGGTATGTCATGAATGCATAAAATATATGCATACACTAGTCTATTGTATCATGCTATCATAAAATACATACAAATCTATTATAAAAAGTTAGAATTCATCAAAACTTACACACACACAGAGACCGTACACGGCCCCATTTGCAGTTGAAGGAAACAAAGATACAGTATCAAATCATAACTGCCTATAATTAACTGTAGTATATACTATACTTAATAATTTTGTAGCCACCTCCTATCACTACTGTGATGAGCTCGTGTTGCAAGTATGCCCTGTGACACTAATCATCTCTTCATGAACAGTTCATCTCTCCAGTAAATTGCCTACTGCAGTAAAAGTGATCTCTTTCATTATTTTTCATGATATTTAGTACAATACCGTAAACCTTGATGAACACCATGGGACCCATACAAAGTGCCACTAATGATGCTGGAAGTGCTCCCAAGTAGAGAAAAGTCATGACATTACAAGAAAAAGTTGAATTGCTTGATATGTACCATAGACTGAGGTCTGCAGATGCAGTTGCCTGCCATTTCAGACAGACTATTCATCTTGTAAAGAGATGACATAAAATTACTGTATTGATAAATATGGTACAACACTGTAAATGTATTTTCTCTTCCATATGATTTTAATAACATCTTCTTTTCTCTAGCTTACTTTATTGTAAGAATATAGTACATAATACATATAACATACAAAATACACATTAATTGACTGCTTATGTTATTGTTATGGCTTGTAGTCAACAGTAGGCTATTAGTAGTTAAGTTTTTTGGGGGGGGGAGGTCAAAAGTTACATGATTTTTGACTGTGCAGGGGGTCTGCATCCCCTAACCCCTGTGTTATTCAAGGGTCAACTGTATAAATAACTCTTACAACTAACTCATCAGTTTAAAAAAAAAAAACTGACCTCAACCCAATTTAAAAAATGGGCAAAAATGCTTAACATCATTAGTTGGTAGTAAAATGCAAATCAAAACTACAATGAAATACCACTTCATACCCTCTAGGATGGCTAGAATCAAAAAGACAGACAATAACAAGCATTGACAAGGATGTGGAGACACTGGAATCCTCATACACTACTGATGGAATTATAAAATGGTGCATTGATAACAGAAAACAGTCTGGCAGTTCCTCAAAAAGGTAAACACAGCTACCATATGACCCAGCAATTCCTCTCCTAGGTACATAACCAAGAGAAATGAAAACATACATCCGCTTAAAAACTTGCACATGAATGTTCATAGCTGCATTATTCATAATAACCAAAACACAGAAACCCAAATGTCTATCAAGTGATGAACAGACAAACAAAATGTGGCATAGCCATACAATGCTCCAAGTGGATAAACCTCAAAAACATGTTCAGTGAAAGAAGCCAGACACAAAAGGCCACCCACTATATGATTCCATTTATACAAAATGTTCAGAATAGGCACATCCATACAGACAGAAAGTAGATTCCTGGTTGCCAGGGGCTGTGATGGGGGGGGGGAGGTA